GGTTTTAGCTTGTTTGGATCCACAAACAGTACTCATGGAAGCAGCAGTCAAGAGATCAAAGGAAGGAGTGCAGTAAGTAAATCTGTTGCATAAGACCTCTTTAGAGTATTATAAAGTAAGGATGTCTGTCACTTTGGAGGACTAAGGTGTGCCCAACCTAAGTCATGGTATTTTCATTGGCCTCACATGTGAAGGTCGGACATTGAATAAGGAAGACCAAAAAAGAATCAATGCATTTGAGTTGTGATGCTGGAGAAGAATGATGAAAGTACTGTGGACTGCTAAAAGGACAAGTTCATCTGCCTTAGAAGGAGTACAAGGCAACCAGTCTTCAACAAAGGACCTAGAAATAGCCAATGGGACAAAGACAGCCTCTTTATTTGTTTAATTATTATTAGCTTTTTTATTTTTAGACAGGAAATTTTTATTAGATTAACACATCTAGGAGCATAAAGTGGCCATTTCTACCTTATCTTCAACTCTTGCATATAAATAGCATCATGAATACAAATTGAAATAGGTAAGTCTTGCTGTTCCATGAGGCAGTATAGAGACTTCCAGTATTCAAATATATTCATATAATCAGATATCTAAATATAAATATAAAATCAATCTATAGGTTATAAGATGACATTCACCATCTTTGTGAAAATTGAACATTACCAGTCCAACCTAGCCTCAAAAGTCCAATCTTACCTTAGGGAAAAGCAGTGATAACATTTGCTGGACAGAAATTTCTGTCAATAATTTAAAAGTTTGATCAGAGTCATTTAACCACAGCTAATCTTTAATTTAATTTGACTGTTCAACCCAAATATTCTATAAGTTATTCATGATCTGATTTCTGGTGTATGAGATCAACTTAAACCTGGTACATATTAAAAGAAAAAGTCACAAGACATTTTATAATCAACAGGGCAGTGGTCAACTATTAATCATTAGTAGATTTTTTGAGATAAGCTATCAAGTCTGCCCTTTCTTCTTCTTTTAATGGCAGCAAACGTCGTTCTTATTCCAGGGATGTACTTCTTGGGATTCGCCAAATACTCCATCAGCGTGTCCTCTCCCCAGGTGATGCCTTTGCTCTCATTGGCACCTGTAAAATGAATCCAGGGCTTGACTGGTCTGCCCAAGCAAACATGCAGATTTGGCCCAGCCTTGTGTTTGCACACCCCTTTCTACCATGTGGCACTGGGCACACATCTGAACAAAAATTTCCTTGCCCTTCTCAGTATCACCCATCGTGAATTCACGCTCTTGTTGCACACCACATGACTATAATCATCCAGAGGCCGGATGTCCCACTCTCAAGTCCAATGACACACGGTCTGTGCCTTTGACGGTGTCTGTGCAACCAAACTCACTCCGCCTCTCGAGTGTTGTGAAGACTAATTGAGCAAATGCCTGTTACACTTCCTTCCAGCTGTCACTCATCATCCAACGGCTCAGCAAACGTGCCTGATCCCTTTGACACCTCGTGATCGCACAGACTTGTATGCTCTTCCATATGGGCTTTGTTGCTTCTGAGGTAGATGACCACTTGTTTACCTTCAAGCCTTTAAGACCCCAGACACTGTATCTTTTGATAGCCAGGTACCATCAGCTTTCTTCACCACATTTGATTATGTGTGTCTGGCTCATTTCATTCTGCATAATGTTTTCAGAGGTCATCCATGTTCTAGCATGTTTCACTGTGTGGCTAAATATCATTCCATTGTCTAGAAGGACTGCATCTGTTTTTCCATTCATCTGTTCATAGAGTTTAGGGGTTTATCAGGGAAGTGAATAGGTTACCACAAGCCAGGATCATTAAATTTGAGAGATACAGTCTGTGCTTCAAAGCTGTACCTCTCCTCAACCAGCAGCCAAGTCTCCGTCTGGTCCTTAAGGCTCTCAGTCAAGTGTTCCCTTGGCTTCTGCCTCATGGATCAGGAAGCCTGCCCACTGGTCTACCTCACAGTCTCCGGGTCTCTAGTCCCACCAATGGCTCCTCAGCTACTCAGTCCTGCAGTCTTAGTCCTTGGGTGGGTGTTACTTGATGGTCCTGAGATTCTCTGTTTCTGCTTCTGAGATGGCGCGCTTATACCTCCTGGATGGCCATGATCTTACCAGCCAGGTCTGTGCACAGCAGACCCTACAGATATCAAAACCATCACAAGGGGGGAGGCTCGAGTATCTGGCAGGAGGCTGGAGCAAGACAGCCTCTTTAACAAATGGTGCTGCACTAACTGGATTTCCATATGCAGATGAATGAAACAAGACCCATGTTTCTCCCCATGCTCTAGGCGCAGATATTTCTCTCGTTCCATGACAGGAATTTCTTCTCTGGCTTTTAAAATGTTGTTGGAGATCTTTTCTTTCTTACTCTTTATTTTTATATTATTAATATGTCTTTCTGTCTCATATTTTGTTTTTGACTGTTTCTGTTGGGTTTCCTAGTTTGTAAAGCCTAGAGGAGTGGATGAATAGAGACAATAAAATACAATGGTACATGGAGTGAGGAGGGTGAGGGGAATTAGGGAGCATTAAACCTGATTGTGATGATGTATATACAACTCTTTAAAAAAGCCATTTAACCCCACATGGAAGAAGCACACCAGCCTGCATGATCACGAGGTGCCGAAGGGATCACTTATCAGGCATCAAAGAACAAAAAAATCTTATCATTGTGTACTCACCTCCCTGATAACGATC